ACTTTTTTATACCAGTTTCTTAACAAGTCTTCGTTTCTTCCTAGACCATTGATATTCACTTAAAAAAAGATACTCGGAGGGGAGCTGTCAATAACCAGCAGACAGACTGGTCATTCAAACTGGATAGAGTTCTCCATGATGCCTCCCAGGACTTGGTTTACGAGATAGTTGCGAAGGATGTGGTTTCTCAGGCCCTCAATGGCTTTAACGGTAATTTAGTTAATTAACTGTTGTTTTAATGTAAGAACCTGGGAATACCCCCACCCAGGAAGAGGTACAAGGATTTTATGGTGAATAAAATAAACTACAATTTCTGTTACTAACTTTTGTTTATTTGTCTCCATGTTCCATTTTGATGACATGGTGGTCATGGCTTGACCCATGGTCCTGGGTTCCTACCTTCATAGGATGATTTAATGACCCTGTCTCTCTATAGGTCATGGGGATTCAACTATTATCCTGTTTCAAATTCCTCGAATATTAGTTTTGAAACAATGTCTTTATGATAAATTTGATGGAGTCAAACATTTTTCTCTTGGCTACCTGCTACGAGCTATTTCCATTTATCCTACCAGCACAATCAATCTCTTCCATTCCAGTATTAGGTTATTTACATATATCACTAAAAACTTGAGTAGAGTTTGATATTCTTAAGGTAAAAGCTTAACAAAAAAGCCATTTAGCAAATTAAAATTTATAGGGAAATTTGTACAAACTTGTTCAGTCTAAGATTGTTTTAAAATCTTAAGATTTTGAAATCCTTAGAAAAAATACATCACTGTCTGTAGACTGCCTGTCTGGTGGCTCCTGACTAGCATGTTCCCCTTTTGCAAGTTTTAGGTCTTCTGTTTAAAAGTCAGTTGAGTGTAGATGCCCGAACATTGTAGCCTGTGTGTGATATATAGGTGTGGTCCTCATTCGTCCTGAGGGGATGTGGCCCTGAGAAAGTAGAGACAGAGGAGCTAAGGCCCAGGGAGGCTAAGAGTCATGGGCTCTGGGTGCTGTGGAGCCACAAATGGGCTCTGAGTCCCAGCTAAACTGATTCCTTCCTGCACATTCCTGCAGGATTAAAGATACTGTTTCTGACTCCAGTGCAGATGCTGAATTCAGGCCCCTTGTGTAAAACCTACCAATCTCAGGAACTAGAGAAACCATGTGGAAAAGGTGGACACTGATTTCCACCACCCAATGTTACCTGAGCATTTCTGCTATGTGAATACCTACAGAAACAGCCTTTGGGTTGGGTCTGGATCAGGCTGCCCAAGTCAGGAGGAAGAGCAGATGGGAACTGGAGCCTAAGGTGACTGGTTTATGTCCCACAGCCTGGTGGTGATGGTAGACCTAAAGCATGAGTGAAGTGCAAGAGAACATCTTCCCAGAGAGGGCACTGGGACAGATAAGGACCTAGTCACGGTATTTGGTTTCTGAAAGAGGCCTGGGACCAGCTTTAGTCTTGTGGGAATGTGTTGTCTACAAAGAATTCTCACCAGTAACAGAAAATGCCCTACCCACTCCCATCTCTTCCTGGGGGTTTTGAAAGCTCTTCTTTCTTTCTGTCTGGGCAGCCTCATGGGGAGACATAGCTCTGAGAGCCTGGCTGTCCATGGTCTTGCTGAAGAAGGGCTGACTTCAATGCTCTCATCACCCTCATCTTGCTAGGAAAATTCCCAGGTCCTCTGTAGCCTGGAATTCCCTGCTCTCCTCAGAAGCCCTAGGATCAAATCCCCTCTTGGAAGGGGAAGCAGTAGAGCCCTCAGTGGACCACAGATTCAGAGCAGCTGTCTGTGTTCTGACCCGTAACATCCTGTTTTCCTGCTTAGCCACTCACCCTACATGGCAGGAATTCCCGATGTCCTTAGCTGCTTCTGATGGCCACCTTCACACCAGGGTTCTGGCTGGTGCTGGGCATGCTGTGGGAGGGAAAAGCTGTCCTTAGATCTATTTTCCTGGATGTCACCAAAATGTGTTCTGAAATGTTTGCAGGCACCATCATGTGTTACGGGCAGACAGGAGCTGGCAAGACGTATACCATGACGGGGGCAACTGAGAATTACAAGCACCGGGGGATCCTCCCTCGTGCCCTACAGCAGGTAGAGCGTGGGCCCACGGGTGGGATGGCACACAGAAGCTGCCCATCCCAGGCCAGCTCCTGGAGCCAGTGGGATCCAGGCCTCCAAGGAGCTGCAGCCTGTAGGGGAGACAGGTTATGCATGGTGGGTGGGTGTGTGTGTGTGTGTGTGTGTGTGTATAACCTAAGAGTTTGGGTTCCAGACTCTGACCGACTCCCATGCTAAGCTTGTTTCCCATTGGGTAGAGTGAGTCGGATGTGCAGACTGGCTTCTTGCTGCTCTGTTGGTCTGTGGCCCTGTAACAGAGGATACGGAGGACCTAGTTCTGTCCCTTCCTGGTTTTAATGAGGGGGAGGGACCATTGCAGGGCTTCCTTACTGGCCTGCTCTGGCTTCTTCCACCACCATCACCCCAGAAAGAACAAAGGGAAGGAGCAGGGCACGACATGAGTTTTCAGGACCAAGTCAGCCCTGGGGGTCTGGGAAGTGTGACTGAAGACAGGACAGAAGGGCCTTCCTTTGGAGTCTGCTAGCCTGTGTTCTGTGAGGACCCTCGTTTTGGAGGTGGGAGGCAGAAGACTGTTCCCTAAAAAACAACTTGAGGTTTTATAGCCCTGTCCAATAGGAAGTGAAGTTGCCCCTCTTGTGCATAACCATCCATGCTATAATTTTTTGAAGCAATATCCTTAACATCCCACTGTCAATGCTCAGCATCTTAGACCTTGATAATCTAGCTCGGTGCTGCCCAACAGAAATATAATGTAACTCACATATGCAGTTTTAGGTTTTCCAGGAGGCACATTTTAAAAAGTAAAGCAAGTGAAAAAAAATTTTTTTTAAAGTAAAAAAAAGTAAAGCGAGTGAAATGAATTGTGGCTTAGCTGGTAAAGAATCCACTTGCAATGCGGGAGACCTGGATTCGATCCCTGGGTTGGCAAGATCCCCTGGAGAAGGGAAAGGCTACCCACTCCAGTATTCTGGCCTAGAGAACTGAATGGACTATATAGTCCATGGGGTCACAGAGTCAGACATGACTGAGCAACTTTCACTTAAATGATATATAATATATGATAATACATTTTATTTAACTCAATATAGCCAAAATATCATTTCCATATGTAATCAATGTGAAAATTATTGAGCTATTTTACATTCTTTTTCCTTACACTAAGTCTTTGAAAGGTATTTTACATGGGCTTCCCAGGTGGCTCAATGATAAAGAATGCGCCTGCAAATGCAGGAGATCCAGGTTCAATCCCTGGGTTGGGAAGATCCCCTGGAGAAAAAAATGGCTCCTGACTCCAGTATTCTTGCCTGGAAAAATCTACGGACAGAGGAGCCTGGCAGGCTATAGTCCAGAGTGTCGCAAAGAGTCAGACATAACTTAGTGACTAAACAACAACAACGTATTTTATACTTACAGCTCGTTTCATCCTTTTTTTGGCTGCACTGCACAGCATGTGGCATCACAGTTCCCTAACCAAGATGGAACCCACACTCCCTGCATTGGAAGCATGGAGTCTTGAGCACTGGACCACCAGGGAAGTCCCCATTTCAATTTAGACCCTAAATATTCATCAGAAATAGTTTCTCTGTATTTAGATTTCATGAAATTGACAATTGAAAGGGTGGACTCATAAACGCAAGTTGTTCCAAACATACTTAAAAGTTTATCAGTAACTGAATTTAGTATTAGTTTGAATTATTTAATTAAGATTAAATAAAATTCAATTCCTCATTTGCGTGAGCCACATTTCAAGTGCTGAGCAGCCCCCTGTGGCTAGTGTCTAGCATGTGGCACAGCACAGATCTAGCCTGTTAGGATAAGGGGGGACTTCAGGGATCATCCAGCCCAGCTCCCCATTTAACAAATAAAAAAGTTAAGGTCCAGAGATGGGGAAAAGACCAGCCCAAAGTCACCTGCTGATAAGCACTGGGGAGGGTAGTAGGAGTTGAGAAGGCTGAGTTCTGGCTTGGCTTTTCCCCCTTATTAGCTGAGCAACCACAAATGGGTACGGCCCCTGCCCTGCTTCAGTTGCAGTGGAGTTAAGAGGATAGAATTAAATAATGGATGTGAAAGAAGCGTCTATATGGTAAAACTCCACAAAATGATATTTTCACTTCACAGTCTTTTCCGTTCATCATGCCTCTGCTTCTTGAGACTGTATAATTATTAGCCAATCTGTAAGTCAGGCCTCAAAAAACTACAAGATGATAGAATATCACCCGATGAACTACTAGTTGTTGTTGATGATGACCATCACAGTAACTAGACCATAAATTCTTCCAGGGTGAGGATTCTCTCCTGAGGTAAGAACTCCCCTAATCCTGGCTGGTCATTGGAGTTCTGGTCTTGGTGACTGCTGTCCAATCTCCCATCTAGGTTTTTAAGATGATTGAAGAACGTCCCACACATGCCATTACTGTGCGCGTTTCCTACCTGGAAATCTATAATGAGAGCCTGTTTGATCTCCTATCCACGCTGCCTTACGTTGGACCCTCGGTCACACCTATGACCATCGTGGAGAATCCTCAAGGGGTCTTCATCAAGGGCTTGTCGGTCCACCTCACAAGTCAGGAGGAGGATGCATTCAGCCTTCTCTTTGAGGTGAGATGATCAGGACCACAGGTGCCTTCTTCCTTACCTTTTCTCTCTCCCTTCTTTCCTTTTGTTCCTCTTTTCCTCCCTCCTTCTTAGTTTCTTACTTACTTTGATAACCAGAATTAAAATTAATATATGCTTGTTTAGCAAGTTCAGATAATAATGAAAAAATATAGAAGCAAAAAAGAATTCACTCATCTGTTTTCTACATATGGCAATAATAATGTGTGTGTATATATATATTTAAAATATTTATTTATTTGGCTGCACCAGGTCTTAGTTGCAGAATATAGGATCTTTAGTTATGGCATGTGGGATCTAGTTCCCTGACTAGGGATCAAACCCTGGGCCCCTGTATTGGAAGTGCAGAGTCCTAACCACTGGATCACGAGGGAAGTCCCAATAATGTATATTTTGGCTTAATAAATTTGGCTTCTAGTCTTTTTTCTCTTGAAGTTTTTCTTTATTTAGTTGAAACTGTCCTTTAAAAAGTTAACCATGGGCATCTGTGATATAGAAAAAAATAAAAATTAGTGTCCTTGAAATATAAAGGCTCTTACAAATCAATTAAAAAAATTGTCTGGGATGTGTTATTCTTTTTAAAATCAAGTAGATTAAAATTCTTATGCATTGCTGGTGAACTATAAAGTGCTATAGCCATTTTGGCAGTTTCCTAAAAAGTTAAACATTAATTTCTTCATAGGACCTAGCAATTCTGCTCCTAGAAATCTACCCAAGAGAAATGAAAATCTATGTGCACACAAAGACTTGTACACAGATATTCATAATAAGAGTATTCATAATAGCCAAAGACCAGAAATAACCAAAATATTCATCAACTGGAGAATGGATAAGCAAAATATGGTACATCCAAACAATAGAAAACTAGTGATAAAAAAGAAATGGAACATTGATACATGCTACAACATGGATGTAATTCCTCCTCCCTCTCCGGAAAAATGCTAAGTAAAAGAAATTTTAAAAGGTCACCTAATGTATGACTCCATTCATTTGAAATGTCCTGATAGCCACATCTGTAGAGACAAAAAGCAGACTAGTAGCTGCCTGGGGGAGGGGAGCAGGAAGTGACTGCAAATAGGCCTGAGTTTGGAGTGATGCAACATTTTAAAATTAGAATTGTGGTGATAGTGACACAATCCTGTAATTTTACTGGTTTTAAAAATCACTGAACTATAATACTTAAAATGGTGAATCTTATGGTATTTAAAATATATGTCAAATAAAAGTTTTTAAAAAGTTACTTAGGTGTCCTCAGAGGTGATTTAAACACAGATCCCTTGCATGTACACAGAAGAAAGAGCCTGCCAGGAGGCAGCAAAAACACATTCTCATCTTATTGCTGTTCCTACCATGAAGAATGATGTTTGCTGAAAGTTTCTTGGCTTAAGGTTAAAGAAGGTCCAAATTTGTGAAGAGTTTATCATGAATAAGTATTTATTTATACCCGTAGAAGTAACTGGGCTTCCCTGGTGGCTCAGTGACAAAGAATCTGCCTGCTAATACAGGAGACGCCGGGTTCAATCCCTAGGTCAGGAAGATCCCCTGGAGGAGGAAATGGCAACCCACTCCAGTAATCTTGCCTGGAGAATGCCAAGGACAGAGAAGCCTGGTGGGCTACAGTCCATGGGGTCGCAAAGAATCAGACACGACTGAGCAACTACCACTGGAAGCAAGCACTCTCCTGACTTGTAATCATTTCCTTGGTCTTCATTAGGGCTTAACCACCTGTAGCATACACATTTATATTTCCTCAAATAGTATAAGTTAACATTTTTGGAAATTTATATAAAAGGAATCATATAGGATGAATTGTCTTATTTCTTTTACCTACTGTTTATGTGCAATTCATCTGGTATTGTTATGTGTTTTTCACTTTTATCATATTATATTGTGTGAGTATACTACAGTTTAGCTATCCATTCTACTTCAGATGGACAGCTGGGTTTTACTAATTTGGGGATATTTCAGACATGACACTAGGAACTAGAACTAGGAACGTTCTTGTATGTATATCTGATGCACATAAGCATGAATTTCTCTAGGTAAAGCCAAGAACTGTAATTGCTAGGTCACAGAGAGTATGTGTCTTAAGCTTTCTTAAATGATACAAATAATGGCATACTCCCTCAACAGGTTGTCAGAATTCCCATTATTCTGATCCTAAAATTTTGACCAGTCTGGCTGGTGTGTAGTGTTTCCCATTATGGCCCACTCATTGGGTTTTATTTCCCTGATTACCAATGAGATTAGGGACCTCATTATGTGTTTATTGATTTGGATTTCCCTGTTCATGTCTTTTGATTATTATCTTTACAGATGTCTTTTTATTTCCTCGTTTGTATAATAAATTCTTAAAACTAGTTCTTTTCTCAGTTGTGTGTATTACAACTGTTTTCTGTCTCCTGTGACTTGTCTTTTTTTCTTGATATGTCAATTTGGTGAACAAATGTTCTTAATTTTAGGTTAGTTGAATGTGACAGTGAGACCTTGGGGAGGTAGCCTGGGAGCCAGCTGGGCGTCCTCCCCAGCGCAGGGCCTCCCCTCCTCTTCAGGTGCTCCCCTCTCCGCAGGGGAACGCAGTACCACTGATTTGGGCTTCCTTCATAGCACTCCTCAGGGTCCTTTAAGGAGACAGAAGTCCCTCCGTGTGAATCTCTTTCTCTAAGTACAGCCATTTCTACCATGTCTCCTTTTAAGTATATTCTGGTCACAGTGCCAGTCCTGTGAATTAGAGGCAAGGGCTGTCTCTTTAAAGATACAAATTACTGATTTTTTCCTAATGTTTAACTGTAATTCATGTTCACTTTAAAAATATGGAAGCATAACCTGTATATATAAAAGATCCACCTATAAACTCCAACCTGGAAGTGACCATTATTAACATCTTGGTAGCACCATCTGTTTATTCTTTCTTCTATGAATGCTTCTGCATTCCTCAGATTGTACCATCGTATGATTTTGTCCTTCATTTTGTTAATGAGGTGTATTACATTGATTGATTTGTGTATGTCAAACCATCCCTGCATCCAGGGTAAATTCCATTTGGCTGTGGTGGATAGTCCTTTTATCGTGCTGTTGAAGGCAGTTTGTTCTAATTTTTGGATTCTGCATTATTGTTATTAAAAGCTATTTGTCAGTATTCTTCTGGTCACATAACATTGTTCTCCAGATAGATCATTCCTGAATTGTTGGATATGTAGGTTGGTTATGACTCAATATCCATGAACATTTTTTAGGCTCATAATTTTTGTTGCCACTTTGCTTTTCAGAATGCTATTATACAGATTCGCATGTTGCTAGCAGTGAGTGAAAGTACAGGTCTGAACTCCAATTTGTCTTCTGTTCTACTGGTTTATAAATCAGACTTCCCTGGAAGGCCTGACTGAGGGCTGTGATGTAAAGATCATTTCTGTATAGTTAAAAAATGATTCAAATGCCTTGTTATTTCAATATGTCAAAATGTCTACATGTTTTCTCTCTTCTTCAGGGAGAGACCAATAGGATTATAGCCTCCCACACAATGAACAAGAACTCATCCAGGTCACACTGCATTTTCACCATCTATGTGGAGGTAAGTACAAGCTCTTTGAGTAGCTTGGGAAGGGAGGTCGATTCCCACGGAGCCTGTTCCATAAGAAGCTTCTCACTGTGACAACCTAACCTCTGTTTTGGGTGTTTCACAGGCCCGTTCACGGACCTTATCAGATGAAAAGTACATCACTTCCAAAATTAACCTGGTGGATCTAGCAGGCTCGGAGAGGCTGGGGAAGTCTAGGGTAAGTGGGGGAGCAGGAAGTTCCTCCTCAACAAGCCATGGCCCTGTCTCCAGCTTAGTGTCTGTGTGCGTGGACTGTCCCTCATTGGGCATTCGTGAGCACTGTTCCTAGCTAGGCGCAGTTCAGCTGTGGGGACAGAACTAGCAGAGGTGAAACAGCTGCATCGGAGAAGCAGTTCCTACCTGGCAGGACTGTTGTAAACGCTGAATGAGATGATGGCTCCTAAATTCTCAGCAAAGTGCCTGGCAGGCAGTGCTCAGTCAGTGCTCCATGCTCTTATTAGCATTTCTCTGTGTATGAGTGTTCATATGATGAATATTTGCATGAATTTTTCATCTCACATACATATTCATATGAGTATTAGCATAAGTATTCAGAAGAGCATTCAGATGAATGTTTGTATTTGTGTGTTGAATGAATGTTTGTATATTCCCAGGATTATTTGCTCAAATATCTGCACAAATATTCCCCTGTATGTTCATAACAGTGTGACTCTTAAGGGAGTATTCATATGAATATTCACACAAGTATTCACTCATATGAATATCTGCATCAGCGTTCCTGGGAGTGTTCCTATTAGCCCAACGTGGAATACAAGACAGGAAGAGAAGACCCTGCTTCTGGGCAGGAGGCACTGGCCTGGCCACAGACCTGCAGTGTGTTTGTGGGGCAGCCTCTCCACTTGGCCTGAAGCAGAACTGACCTTTGGTTTGTAGTCTGAGGGCCGAGTCCTGAAGGAAGCCACCTACATCAACAAATCGCTGTCATTCCTGGAGCAGGCCATCATTGCCCTCGGGGACCAGAAGCGAGACCACATCCCCTTCCGGCAGTGCAAGCTCACCCACGCCCTCAAGGACTCGTTAGGTGAGGGGTGGCTGCGGTGCAGGGAGGAGGGACAGGACTGGCCTGTCTGCTGCTGCTGGTAATGGACTTGCTCCCTCCCGGCGGCATGGACTTACCTGCAGCCTTTCACAGTGACCTCAGACACACCTGGAAAAGCACAGTCAAGCCCAGTGCCCTCTCCTGTCCCCCATGCCATTCTGCCCCCTCCTCAGAGGCTTTGCCTAAGCTCTGGCCTCCACTGGGGGCACCCTCTCATGTCCCCCCCATCCCTGAACCAGATGGCAGAATCCTTCATCGCCTTGAAGCCCCAGGTGGAGGGCCTGTCTGTGAGGTCTTCCCTTTCCTTCAGCCTCCCTGATTGAGGAGCAGGGGCTGTGTCTTGTCATCTTGTGTTCCCAGGCTTTCGCGTTGGGCCTGAAGGTAGGTGTGTGATTATTAACTGTGTGCCCCCCATAAGCAAAGCCCTGGCCCCAGGCCTCTGCCCTGCCCCAGCCATCTCGCTTCTGCTTTCTCCCCAGCTCCTCTTTATGTACATTTGGCGGCCTCTCCCTCTTCTCTCCCTCCCCTTGCCTCCCAGGCTTGTGCCTCCTTTCGTGTGTCTTCTCTGGCCCTCAGTTGGGTCAGGCTGCTAGAACAAAATACTATGGACTTGGACTATGGACAAGCATATGCTATCCCAAAGAACTATGGACTGGGGCGCTCCCACTAGGCAGACATCTGTTTCTCACCCTCGAGGCTGGAAGTCCCAGATCAAGGTCCAGCAGGAATGGTTCCTGGTGAAAACTGTCTTCCTGACCTGTAGATGGCCGCTTTCTCCTTATGTATTCACATGACCAAGAGAGAGAGAAAGAAAAGAGAAAGATCACAAAGAGACAGAGCACTGCTCTCTCTCTCTCTCTTCTTTTAAGGGCACTGATCCTATCATGGGGCTCCACCCTCATGACCTCATCTAAACTTAATCACTTCCTACAGGCCCCACCTCCAAATGCCATCACCTTGGGCACTAGGACTTCAATATATGAATTTTGAGGGGACCTAAGTGCTCAGATAGTAACAGACCACTGCCACCAGCCTCAAAGGAATGTCTTGGCAGAAAATCCACATGGTTCATGGACCTTCTGTGTCTTGCTTTCTGCAGGGGGAAATTGCAACATGGTCCTTGTGACAAACATCTATGGAGAAGCTGCTCAGTTAGAAGAGACGGTATGTAAGGACAGTCGGTGCAGCCGGGTTAGCATCCATCCTCAGGCGTGCCGGACTGGGTAAACTGACTCAGTAGCTGCAGACATGGTCAAGAGTGGACGGATCCAGGGGATGAGTCTGAGCCAAAATTGCCAAAGGGGCTCCAGCCGGGATCAAGATACCAAGTCCCAAGGGGCAGAAGCTATGCCAGGGGGGAGGCAAGGCAGGGGGCGAGCTGAGTGTGGGAGCCTCTGTGAGGGGAGGGGGCCGTGCGTCAACTGGGAGGGGCAGGCACTGTGTTCTGACCCACGCAGCGGGAGGCTCAGCAAAGAGGAAGGAGGAGGTGAGTGGCTGGAGGGGCCCTGGTGGCCGTGCTGGGGCCTTGGCTGCTCTCCTGAAGATGGCAGGGGTTGTCACAGGGCGTTAGTGAAAGAGGGTTGTGGCCAGACTCGTGACTCAGGGAGATGAACCCAGCAGCAGGAAACAGGTGATCTGAGGAGGTGAGAGGCTTATGAGAACCAGAGGCAGGAATAAGAGCTGAGCTAGTGACACAGCAGAGTTCACATAGCTGGGGCTCCCTGCCTCTCCTCCCAGCTCATCATAAATGAGATAGGACTAGAAATCTCTCCCTAGACATTTTGCTCAAATGTGGATGGCTCAGGGCAAGCTTCAGCCGTATGCAGAATCCACTCAGTGAAAGAGGTCAGGCACTGCAGGGAGAGATGCTCCTGCAGGGCCTCCCAGCTTTGTGCAGTAGCGACTGTCCCAGCTTCCAGGGGGAGTTCTCCTGTTGCACACTCAGCGCCCTGGGATGTGGGAGGCCAGGGAGGGGAGCTCCAGTGACGTGCAGGCAGCATCCCCAGAGGAAGGCTTCAGGAGCTGCTGGTTTCAGAGTATCATAAAGCGTGAGTGAACCCCAAGAGGAGTCATGTGACTGTTGGGCCTCCTGGCTGCCTGGTTGAGAAATCTGTCCTCCTAGACCGTGGAAGACCCTCTCTCCCCTTATGCCCACCTCTGAGATGGTCACACAGGGAGCAGCTCTCCTGGCACCTGCTTTCCCCAGAGGCTTGTACCCATACCACCTGGGATCTCTGCCCAGGACTCAGCCCACGGAGCCCCAAGGAGCTGCTAGGAAGGGCTATCAGGGGTTGGGACAAAGGCAGATTGGCAGTGTGGAAGGTCATGATTCTCTTCTCCAAATGTTTTAACTTTAAAACAGTGCCTGTCATGATTCATGTTGTTTATGCAGTGACCCTGCACACACACATCCCCTGTGTGTACAAGGGAGTCGCGGCCACACGTGCTGCTGCACTTGCAGGAGCCTGGTTTCACCCCACACAGAAGTAACTATAATGACAGGGGCCTCTTTGGGGGCTGACTGGGGGCCAGTTCTGTCCAGAGCACATTACGTACCTGAGCACTCAGTCTCCCAGTGACCCTGTAAGCCAGGTCTCCCCGACTTTACAGAGAGGTTACAAGACCCTTCTGAGGATGTAGTCGGTTGGTCTGTGCAGAGCTCTTAACCACTAGACAAGACTGTCCAGTGGAAGAGCCCTTTCAGGCCTTCCTCAGGCTACTTCTGGGTGACCCAACCCTCCTCTGAGTCTGCCTCCCTGCTTCAGGCCCTGAGCCCAGCGTAGTCTGAGGCTGGGATGTCAGGGCCTGCCTCATGTGCCTCTGGCTGCTCCTCACACCTGGGAGCAGCCCCTCACTCCTCATGGAACATCAGTGCTCCGGGGCTGTCTCCCAAGCACCTACCCATGGGCCTCCGGCCATAATCACCCCTGGCTGGCTGTGCCCCTGGAGGGACGCAGACAAGATCCCCTGGATGTCACTCCATGGGCCCATGGAGCATTCCTCTCTTTGGGGAGATTTGTTTTCTAGTGGACTCCTTCAGACATTGTTTAGCAAATGTCTCTAGTCACAAGTAATTTGCTAAGAACATAGAGGTTTGTCTGATCTGTTTTTCAGTTGTCTTCACTACGGTTTGCCAGCAGGATGAAGCTGGTCACCACCGAGCCTGCCATCAATGAAAAGTATGACGCTGAGGTATTAAGGGTGTAGGCAGGTGTCTCCCTCTGGGGAAGATGGGTTTGCTGCCTGGATCCCATGAGCCTGGCTTCCTTTCCTGCCTTCACCAAAGATACCCATGCTATCCTGAGTCAGTTGCTTTCTCTTCTGGGGTAGGTCAGTGTTCAGAGTTCCGAGAGACCCCGTTGGGGGCTGCCACCAAGATGAAAGGGCTAGATCAGGCCCCCACCCAATTGCTGGGGCCTCAAGGCTTCTGAGTACCCTGGGCTTCTGCATGGGAGTCCTTTGAGCTGCTTCTGAGCTTAATCCGTGTGGGCTGTCTCTCAGACTCATCTGGCTAGGTCACTACTGAACCACTTTCTTCCCAGCCTGAGCGATCCCTCTCGGCATACAGCTGATCAATCAGGAGGAGTGCTCAGCATCAACACTAACCAGGGAAATGCAATTTAAAATCTTAGTGGAATTCCACCTTCAGACTAGCAAAAATTAGACATTTTCTGACAACGCAAACTATGGTGAGTATTTGCAAAACAGCAGATCTTATTTCTGGTCAAAGGGTAATTGCCAACCACTTTGGAGAGCATTTTGGCAACATCTACTGAAGTAAAAATACATTTACCAATAATCTGCTTTTCCTTTAAGATGCTTATGCAACCATAGTTATTGGAGAGGAGCACATGTGTGCCCTAAACCCATGACACATCAGCTGAACTTTCCAGACTCTAAATCCTCAAGAAAAATAGCAGTCCCAGGGCTCTGTGTATCCAAACCGTGGTTTGGAGGTTGAGGAAGAAGTAGAGCTTAGAGAATTACCCCAAGGGCTCATTGAACCACAGGTCCCTGGACCCGTTCCCAGAATTCCTGATTCCCTCGGTCTGGAGTGGGGCTGAGGGTTCAGATTTCTCCAAAGTGTTCCCAGTGCTGCTGTTGCGGGACCTCACTTGGAGAATGACTTGTACTGTAGTTAAGAGACCTGGGACGTGCATTGGGCTATCCTGGTTCAGTAGCCTGTTCTCTCTGCTGTCTAGCCTCAGTAAGATACTTGTTCTTTCTAAGTGAAGAATAACAGAGTCCACCCTCAAAGAGATGTTGTGAAGAGTAAGGTAATGAGTAGAAATCATTTAGCACAGTGCTATCATGGCGTAAATGTTTAGGAAATGTTAGTTAGCAGTCCACTCAGTTCTGCAGACCAGCACTGTCACTTCTAGGTGTACAGTCTAGTGGCATTCTCGCGTATGCACATAGAGACTTACAGAAAATGGTGCTGCACTGCTTATTGCAATGATGAAAAGTTAGGAACACAATTAATAGCCTTTAACAGGAGAGTAGCTAAGTAGGTTGTGGAGGGAGGAAGCCAGAGCTTGAGGTTTGAGCATGGATAATCTCTAGTGAGAAAACAACTTGGGGATTGAAATGGTGGCATCTATCATTCATACCAAGTATAAAGAACATAAAAAGCAATGCTGATTAGTCTTAGTGCATACGTGTGCGTGTAGTCAAAAAAACGTGTGGGAGTGAAAAGACCAAACTGAGCTGGGGGTTCCCTCTGGATATCAGGGTGGGGAATGGACTCAGAGTGGGGTCCAGGGGCTTCACATTTATCTTAAATGTTTTATTTCTTTTAAAAACAAAAATTATCTGCAGCCAGCATTTAGCATGCTGTTAAAAAGTCAGATTTTAGGGTGGTCTTCCCAAAGTTTCATGGCATTATTTTCTATGCTTTTCTGTAGCTTGGAGCTTCTCTTATTTATTTTTCTTATTTTCTTATTTGGTATTCACTTAGCTTAGGACTACCACATTACCACCTCTGAACCTGACTGGGTGGGCATTGCACCTGATGGCAAGGACTTTCATTTTAGTAATTCCTGTTCTGAAATCTGCACTGTTGGTTCTGGACAGCCAAGTTGCCATGTCACCAAATGCGAATGTGTTTATAATCTTTATGATAAGCCTTTTCCTTTCTATGCACGAGTTCTTGAGAGAGATCTGGAAAGGTATTTTAGTGCCTCCTTTCCCAGACTGTAGTCAGTATTCCCAGGTTGTTTCCAGCATCATTTTCAGTACTGATGCCTGTTTTCAAGGGGGTGGAATAGCTTCTGTAGGATTTCCTTGGTTGGCAGTGTTGGCTGGAAGGTGGGAGACTGAGTTCCTGGTCCACCTCTGCTACCAGCTGTCTGCGGTGAGTTGCTCAGAGTCTGAGCCTCAGGGTATTCATCTGTGAACTAGGAAGTTGGACTGAAGACCTCCAGTGACCTTCCCACTATGTCTGTGATTGGATGAGGTGGTGGAAGGGTTGTGAGTCATGGGTATAAACAGACAGCAGAAAGACTTGGGGTATCCTAGTCTGCCAAGAAGAAATGCACTTACATGCTGCAGTGAGGTCAAAATAGGGCAACTGCTTTGGCTGAGAGCTGTTCCCAGCCTGCCGTGAACTTAAGCAGAACTCTCTGAATTATCCTCATTATATTTATAATGGAAACACCTAACCATCAAGGAACTTACGTGGGGTCTGTGTTGTCTCCAAGGCGTTGTTTTTTTTTTTTTTTTTCCATCCAGAAAATGCTACTGTGTCTTACAAGGGAGTTGGTCCACCAGGAGGTGCTGCCAGATCCTATTCTGTGGGGTCAGCTGTTCGAGTTCTGTTTCTAGGCAGTTTCTTTCCAGTCAGTCAGTAGAAGAGGACAGATAGAGGCCTACTAGGCCTGTTAAGCCCACCAGGCATTAAGAGAAGTGGCTTCCACGCTCTCAGGGCGCAGCTTGGAGCCTGGTGACCCAGGACAGCAGATGGCCCGTTTCCGCCATCACCCGACTGGCCCAGAGGTCTCAGCCTGACTCCTCGCGCCACAGTGGATGGAGGAGTCATCGAGCTGGAGGCCCCCAGCAGCTCAGCCAGTGTCCTTGGCTGGGTAGAGTGCATTTTCTAGAACTGAGATCCCTCAGCTGGGACGAGGGGTGAAGATGAGTAGGGGCTGGCCACCAGTCCTCTCTCATAGGACTTCCCTCAGTCACCTCATAGGAAGTCCACCTGAAGGACTATCTTGAGGTTTCCCAGAGGGGCAGAGTCAGAATTTGGACCCTGGTCATGTGTCTTGAGTTCAGGCTTCGTGCCCTGATTTGCCAGTGAGCCACCAGGACCCCTTGCTACAGACTGGCCACTGCTTTGGTCACCAGATGGACAGAGGACCCTGACAGGCTACAGTCCATGGGGTTGCAGAAGAGTCAGACAAGACTTGGTGACTAAACTACACCTGAGACCCAGCTGTCAGGGGCTCCCTCTAGTGGCCATTTTTGACAATTAAAGGAAGCCTATTGTTCACACCGAAGGTTCTCAACATGAAGTCCTGGGCTGCTTAAATGAAAGACTCAAGGACAGTATCTATCAGATGTAAAATGATTAAGCAATTCTGCTTCTAGAAATGTATCACTTATTCGTTCAGCTAAAATTTATGAAGTACTTACTATGTGCCGGGCACTTTTTGAAGCACTTGGGACACGTCAGTGGATCAACAGAAACACAAATCTGTCTTGAAGAGCTGACAGTTCACTGGAGATGGGAGAGACAGATGTAATAAACATAAATCAGTCAGTTCTAGATTCTTCCATTTGTGACAACATGGATGAACCTTGAGGTCATTGTGCTAAATGAAATAAGCCACATACACACAAAAAAAACACTGTATGATTTCACTTATATGTGGAACCTAACAAAGTCAAATTCACAGAAGCAGAAAGCAGAGCAGTTGGCTACCAGGAGTGGGAGGAGGCAGGCTGAGATATGGGAGATGTGGGTCAAAGAGTACATATTTTTAGTTCTAAGAGTTCCGGGGAAGTAACATATAGCATGGTGAATATAGTTAGTAGTGTGCTGTATACTGAAAATTTGCAAGGGAAGTAGATCTCAGAAGCTATACCACATACACAAAAAATGGTAACTAGTGGATATGTTAACTAGCTTGACTACAGTAGTCATTTCACCGGGTACATGCATATCAACACATCGCATGCTGTATAAATGAAGCTAAAACAGGTTCCGGAGCCTCACCGTCCAGTACTGTAGCCACTACTCACACATGGCTTCTGAAATCAGTGGAAAAAACACAAAACTTTCTTTCTGGTCACACTTCATGCCACAGCGATACTCGTTCCCCAACCAGGGATCAAACCCATACCCTCAGCAGTGGAAGTGCAGGGTCTTAACCACGGGACCTCCAAGGAAGTGCTCTAATAAAATTAAAAATTAAAAAAAAATTTCACTTCCTCTGTCCCACTAGTCACATTGTAAGTGTTCCATAGCTTTGTGTGGCTTGTGGCACAAACAGAACCTTTCCATCATTACAGCAAGTTCTGTTAGCACTGTTCTAGGGTATGTTCTATGAAAAAACAACTAGAGCAAGATTTTTAAAAGAGTGGTTTGAGAGTGGGAGGGGATTGCAGTTTTACATGGGGTGATTGAGGGGCACCTAATTTAGCAGTGTTTGAACAGAGACTTGAGCCAGGTGAGCTATGCAAATACCTGGGAGAAGAGTGTCCCAGGCAGAGGGGACAGGCAGCACAGAGGCAGGAGTGTGCTCATTTGGTGGGAGTGGTGTGAGCAGGGGCAGAAACGTAGGCATATAGGTCACTGTTTTCCTACACAAAGATGCAAGAGCAAAGGTGTTCTGCAGCATTGTTTATAGCAGCAATGGATGGAGGTGGCACGCCTGTCAGTGGGGAATGCTGATGCTTTGTACAGTGGCTGGAGAGGATGAGGGTGACAGCGTCCTGGAGGCACAGGCTGCACGCACAGGGCGGTGACCCTGGTGAACTGAAGTATGCTGGAGCTCCTGGAGTCGGGCTTGGTCCTAGTGGTGCCCATACTCACTCTGTTCTCAGTCTCCCCTGCAAGTAAGAGGCAAGGGACAGAGAAGTGCTGAAACCCCTTCAAACTCTAAACTCACCCAGTTGGGGAAAAGTCACCAGCTGGGAGGGAATCGTCCAGATGTTGAGATAACACTCCACGGATTACCTGCAAGGGCCAGGATGTCCAAGGACAGGATGGGGAATTATAAGTGGCTTCTCTGACTGTCCTCTTTGCTACCCGCCCCCCACCCCCCCACAATATGCTTCCCTTGCAGAGAATGGTCAAGAACCTGGAGAAGGAGCTAGCATTGCTCAAGCAGGAACTAGCCATCCATGACAGCCTGGTAAGGGGCTAGAGGTGGTGGGCGGAATCCTGGAGGGACTGGGGTCAGGGTTCCAAGTGGGCAGAAGGACTAGGTGTGAGGGGGCAGTGGGTCAGGGCAGGGGTGGGTCAGAGGGTGGGCTGGGTGAGCAGAGGGACTGCGTGGACAGGGGCCATGTGGGTCAGGAGCTGAGTAGACAGGGGACTGGGGGAACAGAGACTGCAGGGGCAGAAGGCCTGGGGGATCAGGGATGTCTGTTGGACAGAGACCCTGGAAGAACAAGTTATGGGCAGGGCTGTCAGATGGTCAGGGAGCAGAGCCAGGCAGTAGGCAGGGGGATGGAGGGCAGGGGCCACAGGCCTGGCAGGTGGGGCTACAGAGGCAGACAGCCTGAGGTCAGGGAGGTGGACAGGCTGGATGGTTATTAGGGGCAGCAGGGAGCTGGAAGGTAGGGGTGGGGGGCAGGAGACCGCCAGTGCTTGTCTGAGCTGATGCTCATGGTCCAGAGAGTCTCAAGGCAGAGGCGCCCCCTCCCTCCCTCATCCCACCGTCTGCTGAGACTCAGCCAGCAGAGCCCCCCGGCTTGGAGGAGCAGGCCCTTGTCTGGCAGCCTTTCTTTCCCCGTCTCACCTGGTTGTCCTGTGCTGACCCGACCACCTGGCCTGTGAGTCAGGCCTTCCCTACTAGGACATGGTGATGAAGGGAGTGGAGTGACTTGGGTAGCCAGGCTATCTGCCCAGCCTCCCCACTTTGGTCCTCAGAATGGTCCCTGCCACCCTGCTTGGGCTCAGGAGCTTGGAGCTTAACAGTATGTTCCTCTTCCTTCTCCAAGGCCAACCGTACCCTTGTGAACTATGACCCCATGGATGAAATCCAGATTGCTGAGATCAACTCCCAGGTGCGAAGGTACCTGGAGGGAACGTTGGAAGAGATTGACGTAAGGAGCCTCTCAGGACCACCATGTCCGGCTGGCCCGGGCCTCTGTCTCCCAGCCACACCATGATGTATGCTGTGCTAGCCTGGGAGCCTCACTGAGAGGGTGCAAGGGGTGTAGGGTAGGTGGTGCTGGATTCCTGGCCTCAAGGCCCTTCTGCCCACTGAGGCCTCAGCATTCATGTTTAGGGTCGCAAGGCTGTGGGTGCCCCACAGAGTGGCCCACAGCCCTGACCACGTGAGAGGTGGTCCATCACTGGGCCACCAGTTCAGATTCGACTCTCGGAGCTCAGCAGCCTCCCTGCTGAGTGGCCTCAGGAAAATGCTCACACGTGTGTACCTGTATGGTGGGGAGGGAAACCGAGCTAGGATGAACTGAGATGCAGCACCTCGGGGGCTTGTCAGTGGCAGGCAGAGGGAGGGCATTAAAGGATGACGCTCATGCTGGTTGTCTACAAGGCGGATCCCTCCAGGGCCCATGCTGGAGTGGGCCAAGGAGGAATAGAGCAGCCACAAAGGGAAGGCTCTCAGGGGGAAAGAGGCATTCTGTTTTCAGAGCACAGGCTGGCAGACCTGTCATCAAGGGGCTCATGGACAGAGCCTTGCCCAGCCTGTTACTGTGAGCAGCTGCCAGAGGGCAGGCCCAGAATGACCGAGGCGTCAAGGCTAATGCTAGAGGGCAATGGGGTCAAGAGAGGCTGATGGTCTTCCTTCAGCCGCAGGTGTGTGTATGTGTCTGTGCCCACACAGAATGGTTCATAATGGCTCCTTTTGGAAGCAGGAGAGAGCTGAGGACAGTTAATTTTATTTAGATGTTTTCTTAGTACCTTCAAGAACTAGAGTCATTTCAATTTTATATAACTCTTCAGTCAGAAAAGGTGATTTTTTTATAGCCTCAGTAAATAGTTTCCAAACTACTAATCAAGGGTTTCTTTGTTCTTGAGGAGGGCTTGACTGCCACTTTGCTGAGAGGGTGTTGGTACGAGGCCCCTTCTTAAGACACATGGTCCCAGGGTTAGCCAAGGGGTCCTGATTTCTCTACAGACACAGCCTTAGTCCCGTGGTGCCCCTGGTCTAACCTCTGCCTTGCTCTCCTCTCCAGATAATCAACCTCAGACAGATCCAGGAGGTGTTCAACCAGTTCCGGGTGGTGCTGAGGTAAGGGGCCCACCACACCTACCCAGTCTGGCATCAGGCTGCCATTTTCCTTTCCCATGGTCTGGTTGCCAGCCTCCAGGTGCTCTGCCTTCTGGCTGGTGTGCGAGGAGCCGGATCAGAGGCCTCTGGGTATGGCAGCCCCGGGTGACCCCAGCAGTCTGCCTCTGAGCTCTCAGGTCCTCCTGGAAGTGGGGACGACAGCCCCCGCTTTGAGGGCTACACAGAGAGGAGGCAGCCCCTGGTTTCCTGAGCTCGCTCACTGGACAGGAGTTCTTTATGTGGCCAGAGCAGGGCATTCTGATGCTCCTGGCACCCTCTTCCCCACCTCAAGAGGGATTTGTGGTTTACTGGGGTACAGACATACCTGTAGCCGACTGGCTCGTGCTGGGTGGTAACACAGAAGCTGGGCACGTGATTCCAAAGGGCCTGTTAGAGACAGATGGGGATGCATGATACAGGCTTGGGGTCCTTGTCAAAGGTCATCTTAGAGCAGCTGTCCTTGACACATAGGGTGACCCCTGCGGATTTGGGAACTGGACAGTGGGTACATGTTTTGGGGAGTGGGGAGCAGAGAATGAGCATGTTTTGTTGGATCTGGCTCAAGATGAGGGCGTGGCTCTGTCTCGGGGGCCACACCCAACTCCTGACTCCAGAACCTGGTGCTCGCCCCAGTGGGCTCAGATCACCCAGGTGTGAGGGCTTTTCACCCTGTCTCCCAAGCCAACAGGAGCAGGCAGTGGAGTCTGCTCTGCGCAGGAAGTACACCCTCATAGACAAGAACGACTATGCAGCCATCTCTGCTGTCCACAAGGTAAGCACAGTTGCCTCTTACCGACAAGACTCACATCAGAGTTTTGCATTCCCGGGTCTTGCCAGAGGCAGTGAGTGTCCTGCATTAAAGCAGATCTAGGGTTTTAACAGGTAAAGATTAACATCAGCATGAGCATGGAATGACCCATGCAAGAGTCAACCATGTATGAATTCAAAACGCCCTGCTCTGGCCACATAAAGAACTCCTGTCCAGTGAGTGAGAGACTGGCAATGGGCCTCAGGCGTCTCAGAGTGTGGATGAGACACCAGCTATGAGAACAGTTGGCGTGGAAAGTGGATGTTTGGTGGGGTGGTCAGGGACAGCTGGCGTGGGGACAGCCTGCAGGGACATCCGCAGGAGCCACCTCTCAGTGTGTGGGGTGAACATGCCCACCTGGGCCCCTCAGGGGCCTGAACACTCAATCTGACCTGCAGACCTGTGACTGGCCTCTGTCCAGGCAGGGCTTGTAGACGCTGACGGCCACCTTGTGGGCGAGCCTGACGGACAAGGCTTTGGACTCGGAGTCGCCCCTTTCTCTACCAAACCTGGGAAGAAATCCAAGTCCAAGAAGATGTTTAAAGAGCAGCTCAGGTGAGTGACTTTCCTGCTGCTCCCGCTGATCAGCACCTTGCCCTCCTTGGCTGGCGAAGGGGAGGACACAGCTGTCCCATCTTTCCCCCAGTCTTAGTGACGGGCTGGGGTGGTCACAATGGACATCACCCCTGCCAATACTAACAGCATCTGTGGGGCCCAGGCTGGGACTGCTCATCTGTCATAGCTAACAGCGGTTCTGTGAGGTGGGAGTTCACGTCTCCAGTTTACTTAATAAGGAAACCGAGGCTCAGAGAGGGGAGGTCATTCCAAGGTCACACTGCTGAGGAGTGGTAGAGTGGAAATGAGAAGCTGGGCTGCCACTTGCCCTCTGGTACTTCACATGGAAACCCACCCCACCACCACCATCCTTCTGTGACCCAGTTAATTGGCACCCATATGTCCCCTAAAAACCCCAGCTCACCTTGCAGGCAAGACATATTTGTGGGTGCAGGGTGGAAGGAGTATCAAGGTGCCCTTAATGAGCCGGCCTCTCTGGGAAGTGCTGTGTTGTGGTGGACAAAGCCCCCACTCTGAGGGTGACTCCCAGGCTCACCTCCCTACTGTGTAGTTCTCTCACCCAAGAGGGTCACCTTCTGTGAGGCATGAGAGCTTCTCTGCCTCGGTTTCCTCCCCCTAAGTGGGAATAATAATAATAATAATAGCATCAGTCACTGGGCTGGTTTTGAGGATAAGTGAGTAAACGCAGCCCCCGTCCCTGGAAGACCTCAATAGCAACATGTTGTTACCATTATCACCTTTTCCTTGTGAAAGGACATGGGTCAGAGCTGACGGCAGAAAACTGTCATGTGCAGGGTGGCGGGATGTCCTGGCCTCCTCCTGCCTCTTCAGGCAGGGCAGTCACCCCTCTGTCCTGTTGTCAGGTAACCCGTGTGCCAGGGAGATCAAGGCTTGGTCCCCAGGCCACACCTGTTGCCTGTTGAAGAGCAGAGAAGGAAGCAGTCATGGAGGGAGCCATGGACATCCTTCCTTCAGTTCAGCCCTGCTCTCACGTGCCTCTGGGGAGGGAGGGCCCTGGGCGCCATCATGTGGAGAGAGATGGCTCTTTTCCCGGGAGCTGGTGTGGGCACTGATATAGGTGGGTGAGCAGGTCATGGGCTGGTCAGAGCAGGGGTACAGACATCTTTACTGCTGAGCCTCAGACAGACGCGCCCAGGGTGAAGGCCCTGCTTTCCATCCCAGCGGCGCCTGTGTGACTCCTGCCTCAGCAGCCAGGATGCTCCTTAGAGCCTGTGGCCCACGCCAAGGTCCTCATGCTTCCAAACTGGAGACTACCTGTTCCTCCCAGGTTTCTCCTACCAAGACGGCTGAGGGAGGACCCCTTGTTCTGATAAAAGGGAGACAAATGCTCCCCTCCTCCTCCCCACGTGCATGGCTTAGGGCTGTACTCTTCGCCCTTTGGCTGAGGTGTGTGTTAAGACGGGAGCTGAGTGGGATGGGGTTCTGGTGTATGAGTGTTGAGCAAGATTCCTCCCCTCAGCGTCAGAGGCACTGAGCCAGGTCCCCCTTCCTTCTCCTTCCAGCTCCTCAGCAAGAAAGGAGGGTGCCAGCAGTCCTCTGAGCGGCAAGGACTTGGATGTTTCTGCCTCCAAGACCCAGCTGACCCCGTCCTCCAAGGATGGGGATGTCAAAGACATGCTTGTGCGGGACCGGGAGACCTCCAATACTGAGCCCCTGGCCTCTGACTCCCCAAAGGAGGAATTACGCCCACCCAGGTGACCATCTGATGCTAGCTTCTGTGCCAGATCATACAAAACCAGAGTATGACATGGAAAGAGCACCTGCAGATAGAAAAGAAATAAAATAGGGGTAACAGGCAAAGACTAGGAGCAGTCCCAAAAGAAGAAACATGGTTGCTTATACAAGTGCAGATTGGTTCAACCTCAGGAGTCACCCTGTACAGTTATCATGTGTACGGTTATCATCGTGTACAGTTATACACGAAATCATTTTAGACCCTCCAAATAGCAATTATTTAAATAATTAAATTTGCAAATTATGGGTAAGTAATGTATTCAAAAGATACAAAATTCTCAAGTATGAGACCCTTCCTCTAGCCACCCAGTTCCTCTCCCCCAGTCAGTCAGTAATTGAGTTTTTAGGAATCTGTCCTGAGGAAATAATCAGAGATTTAGACAAAAATTTATATAAAAAGATGTGTCATTAATTTTAAAAGCAAAAGGAAAATTTTTTTGGTAACACCTTCAGTAGTCAATTAGGGAAAGGGCACCAAGTGAATGATTCTCTCTTCCCTTGAAATGTACAAAGATGTACATGAAGAATTTTTCTCCAGCTTGTGAACATTTCCAAACATTCAGAGAAGTTGAAAGATCTGTATAGTGAACACCCTCTTGATTGTACTGTTACTATAGTATTTCATCATGTGTCTTTCTCTCCATCTTTTCATCCATCTTTTTTTTACGGATTACAAAGTAAGTTGCAGACAGTCTACTTTCACCTACCCGGCACTTCATCTTACATCTAGTTAATAATAACTAGAATTCTCAGAGTTTTTAGTAGCATGAAAGAATGCTTCTGTGAAAAAGGATGCAGAATTATATATACTCCATGATCCAAATATTAAACAACTTACCAAGTAAATTCCTGAAGGAGATACATTAAAGTGTGGTTGCCAGTAGGTAATGAGTGGTATTTTGTTTTTCTGTTTTCCTTATTTTCATTTTCTGCAGTGGGCTGAATAGAACAGAGATGAGAGAATCATTCCTATACAGTTTACCTCCCATCTAGGGTAGGTAGTGCCCAGGAATTCTGACCTCCAGCTCACAGAAGCCCCAGGGAAGAAATGTGAAGTGCCCGGTGGCTCCAAGACAGCTGCCCCCTTTCTCCCTTCATCTCCCTCTCCATCTTTAGGCCCAGCACCCCACCCGCCAAGCCTGTGGCCTTTGAGGACTTTAAGAATGAGCGGGGTAGTGAGATCAACCGCATTTTCAAAGAAAACAAATCCATCTTGAACGAGCGGAGGAAAAGGGCCAGCGAGACCACGCAGCGCATCAATGCCATCAAGCGGGAGATTGACATGACCAAGGAGGCACTCAATTTACAGAAGTCACTACGAGAGAAGCAAGGTAAGCGTGCTGAGAAGGTAGTTGGGGGACAGTGGGATCTCAGTCATCCTGCTTGGGATGGGTGGCCGTGGGTACTGGAGGACCAAGTTGGAAGGGGAGCCGCAGGGGATGCTGGGGTGCAGCCCTCATCCCTGGGGCATCACTTGGCTCTGGTCAGCCCTGGGGAGCCAGAGTCCTTCTTTGTCCCTCTACCCACACCTTCTTTGAATATGTGGTTAATCACTCAGTCGGGTCTGACTCTTTGCAACCCCATGGATTGTGTGTAGCCCGCCAGGCTCCTCTGTCCATGGGGATTCTCCAGGCGAGAATATTGGAGTGGGTGGCCACTCCCTCCTTCAGGTCTTTGAATATGCAACCCCTTATATTTACATATTTTAAATCATATGCATATTATGCTGATATATCACTCACTCCTCAATATGCCTGAAAAATGTATATTTTTAAAGGATGGGAAGAAGAAAAAATAAACGGTATTTTTAAATAGTTAAAATTTTATGAATATCAGAGAACATTTTTGCCCTTCCCTACCCCCCAAGCAGTTGTTTTCCCATTGGTTGGTGAAATACCAAGTAAAATAACTTTTATCTTAAGGGAACAGATCAAGTAGTTCATTTTTTAAAATACCTGCTAGGTACCTTGACTGGTAGCCACTTGTCAGCCCAGAGTGGTGATTTAATTTGGGACATTAGACATGAGACATGTCTTCCATGAAAAAAAAAATGAAAATCATCTTAATTCAATGAAATCTTAGTTCAATTCTTAGAAATTTTTTTCTTTGGAGATAATCAGAGAACCTCTGGGAAATATAAGAGATGTTATCACTCCCTGTCTCAACAGAGTGCTGTAAAGTCTCTACTCTGTGATGGACTTTTGGGCCTTTCCCGGTAGTCCAGTGGTCCTTCGGTGCTTCCAGTGCAGGAGGAGTGGGTTTGATCCCTGGTCAGGGAACTGAGATCCCATATTCCCCATGGTACAGCTCAAAAAAAAAAAAAAAAAGATTTGTGTCTATCAAGTAACCACACTGGAACTGGCCCACAGCCCACTGATCAGGTTGCTCTGCAGTGAAGGTGAGGGCAACTCTGGCCCCCCAACTGCAGACACCTTGAATTGGAGCCCTTGCCTCTCCATGAATGCTGTCAGTGACACTTCATGTGCCTCACTTCTCCCCCATAAACATCAGTGGAAGTGCTAATGCCTTCCCCAGGTACTGGGGACTGCCTCATGCACCCTGGCCACACACCTCAGTCACACACAGGACTAACTCTCCAGGAGCCTGGGCTTGGGTACTGACAGTATGCCTTTGCTGAACTTTCAAGTGCTATAGGCAGTAGACCGCCAGGTGAGTGGCTCCACAGATAATTCTGTCTTAACCCAACAACCCTCATCAAACTGACAGACCTTAAAAAGGACTGTGCAAAGAGACCGTGAGTGGAGATGACGACTCATAGGATGATTTACCCCTCCCTCCTGGAGCCCTCTGCCAGCCACCAGACACAATACAGATGTCTGATGCTTTCTAACAAGGTAGCTGGTGAATGCTGAAATTAAGAAGACAATTTGAAATTTGGGTTTACATCTACTGTTAATAAGGAACCTTGCCCAACTGCCTTGTGGTACTAGCCAGTCATGGCAGCTTGTTTATAGAACTTATGAAAAAGATAAACACCTGTATAATAGAGGTATTTACTGGATGTTCTGGTTAGTGGGGTTTAAGATCAAAATAACCATGGAATGTGGGCCATCTGTACCATTTCCTCCATTCACCTCTCCTGTTGGTCCTAAATATGCTGTGTGGTCCCCTGACCTCAGCTCCCTCTCCCTGTGAGACCTGTCCTGGTAGCCCAGGCTTCTCATGCCTTGTCCACCTCCTCGCTGCACTGCCAGCCCTTCCCCTTGCCCTGTGTTCATGCTTTGCCAGCACTGCCCCCTCTTTCTGACCACCTTCCTCCCCACACCCCAGGTAGGCCCCTCATTCCCTGACCTCCTCCATCCCCTTGCAGGTGAGTATGAGAACAAAGGGCTGATGATCATCGATGAGGAGGAATTCCTGCTGATCCTGAAGCTCAAAGACCTCAAGAAGCAGTACCGGACGGAGTATCAGGACCTCCGTGACCTCAGGGCTGAGATCCAGTACTGCCAGCACCTGGTGGACCAGTGTCGACATCGCCTGCTCACGGGTGTGCCATTTGGGGAGGTTGGCCAGCCACCTGGGGTTCCAGGAGGCTCAGGGCAGGGCCACAGCCTGGATTCTAGAAGTGGCTTCAGAACTTCTCTGTGGCAGAGGCAGGGGGATGGGGCTTTAGATGTGTTTCCAGGACTCTGAGGGCAGGCAATGGAGATGGGAAAAGTTGAGACCTGGGAGCAGGAAGTGAACAGCGGGCAGGCCTGTGACAGGCACAAGACAGGCACACATAGCCTTGACCTGCTTCCTCGAGACTCCCCACCCTCACAGCACTCTCTCTGCATCTCCCTGCAGAATTTGACATCTGGTACAATGAGTCCTTCTTCGTCCCCGAGGACCTGCAGATGGCACTGAGACCGGGTGGCAGCATCCGGCCAGGCATGATGCCTCTCAGCAAGATTGTGTCTCTGGTAAGTGGCACAGGGCAGGGTTGGGGATGGTGGACGAGCACAGGGCAGTGGGCAGTGCCCCCTGTCCTCTCCTCAAGCATGGCAGTGGATGGGCTGCTCCTGGCCTTCCTACAGCTGCCCCAGGCAGGCGGGCAGGTACAGATCTCTCCCCAGCTTTGGGGGATGAGGACCCAGAAAACACGTGCTGCTGCCAGCCTTCTTGAGTGGCTCATCTTGTCCTGATGGTGGCTACAGGCGT